GGCTTTTTTTTTTACAGTACAGGTCTGCTGCTGCCTCCATTGAGACACCGATGGGCCCTGATCAATTGGAATCGTCAGCTCATGTGACAAGACGTTTTCAGGCAACGTCCAGCAATAGCCCAGTAGGCTGCAACCCCTGTCTATACTTGTTTTGCTTTTTAACCTTTGGGCAACCTATAAGAAAGTAGAACTACAAGTCCCGGCACACCACGTTAGGTTTTTGGCTGTTGGTTAATGTGGGTTCTGGGTTATTGAAGCCATTGGGCCAACATGACAGCAAGGCTATTAAAGGAGGACTATGAGGGCGAGTAAAAATCACTCACCTCATAGTTCTAGCCGACCTGTGACAATGAGACTGTCACAGGTCGGCTCAGTAGATCGGGAAGTGAGCAAACACATACCGTCGCTCGCTCACTTCTCGATCCTGTCCCTGCAGAGAGCCATGACTGTCACTCACGGCTCCCTGCAAGGATTCTCCCCCTCCCCGCTCTGATCCCCCAGCGCTGACTGGCGGAACGGACGGGGGAGGGTACAGCTGGCTCTGCGTCTAGATAGGCAGAGCCAGCTGTCAGTCACGCAGCTGGGTGGATCCAGACAGTAGGGATCCGTCCCGGCTGTGGCGGTCTCAGTATACTGCAAGCTGTAGCTCCCGATATACTGAGCTTTGGGTGACGGGAGGACGCTAGTTTATGTCTTCCCATGACCCTTAGGAGAACTATGGGGAAAAGCCCTGATCCCAAAGTTCTCCTTTAATGTTTGCAGAAGGAGAGGTCTTCAATGGCAGCCTACATGTTGCAAGTTTCTAGTTATACTCAGTTGAAGCTTCGGCACACATAATACAAATGGCGCAGGGTGCAGCTAAATAGTATAATAGGGAATCTTTTTGGAAAAATTCCTCCTCGCCTGGTCCCAGTGCAAAAATGTTTCCTTGCTGTAGGCCGCAGAGAGAACTGTGGTGCTCTCTGTAACAGGAACGTGCAGGCAGGGGGGGCGGAGCCTCACCTAGTATTATGGAGGAAAAAGCTGACAGCTTCAAGTCTGAAGCTGACAGCTTTTTCTCCATTCAGATCGGCTTCTATCAGGTTACAGAGCAGGGAAATCCTCCCCTCCCCCGGTGTGTAATGTGTCATGGACGGAGCGATGCCTGCTAATTACAGGCTGCGTCCGACTTTTGACAGCTAAGTTAGGTTACACAGCAGCGGCCTTCCCAACTGCTTGTGTAACCTAACTATTGAAGCCAGAGCTGTCACAGCTTCTACTCTTTGTTAGAGGCGTGAGCTCTGTGGATGGTTTGGACCAATAACAAAGCGCCATTGGTCCAAGCTGTCCAATCAATAAAAGAAATAAAAAACCCTGAGACCATCGATCTCGATGCCTCAGCAGCAACGAGCAAGTGAGGGACAGGGAGGCTCCTCCCTCCTTCGCACTACGCGGGGATTCGTTGGGATGGGGGCAGGGCTTCAGCGGGATATGGGTGGGGCTTTGGTGTGCTGGTGGTGGTGCTGAGAGTGGTGGGGAGCGGGGCTGGGGAATGCCTCACCAAGAAGCGAAGGTACCGCACGTCACTGCGCTGTAAGACCACATGCTCTCTCTTCAGCAGTCCAATATACCTCCTGTGAGTCAGATCTACAGCTGTCCAATCAGGGATGCTGGTGTAGTACTCCTCTTGGTAATGAATGACGCCCTTCATTAGTATAACAGGCCAACATTTCCATTTTAAGTGTGGGGTGAAAAAAAAGTTGGAGCGCCAGTCACTTTGGCCTTTTTACCTAATATTGTTGAACTCAGTTCAAGAACAGAGGGTTTAGGGGTGCAAGATACCCAAAGGTGCCCTAAAAATAGGACAGGTATTCTGAAGGTAGGAGTAGTAATGGGAGCAGGTCCTTTAATAGCAGCCTGAAGGTAATTGCTGGGTTTCTAGTCCTATGAGAGCAGCCAGGCAGATCGATGATGACCCTGTAAGAGCAGTCACAGTCTTTCTAGAGTAATGGTGGATCTCTTTAATAAATCTGGCTCTTAACCCTCTGATAGCAGTCAAAGGTTCCTCGATGAATCCTTCTTACTATGTCCAGCAGTAGCTTCAACCCAGCTCCTCTGCCACACTCTTCAGCAAGAAGATTCTTTCCAAGTCCAGCTACCTCCAGATGGATGCTCCAGCAAGATACTTAAGTTCCTTGGCCCACTGGACCTGTCCTTGGATGAGGCAAGACTCAAGTGGAGAGACCCTCTAAACACACGTCTTCTCCAGGCATGAGCGTAGGAGGAAGAGGACACTCTGGAAAGGCGATCCAACTGTTTATCATCTCCCAAGCCAAAATTCTGAACAAGGACCTCGGGAGTTGGCTGGGTCAGATCGATGTTCATGAGTCAGTGTTTGTCCTCCCGGCTCTGGTTACTGGAACCTCATTCATAGTAACAAGCAAAAGCAATCAATCCCCTAAGCTTAGTGAAGACCTGAAGGGCCCAGGAAAAAGGAAAACACATTCTCAGGCTGGTTATAGCCTAGCAAGAAACATGCTAAATTTAAAGGGGTTTCACAGTCCCAGCATCTCCTCTCCTGTTATAACACCATCAATGTAATGGGAACCGGGCCGGATGTGCTCACTTTGCTGCCCCAAGGCTAGGTTTCTCAATGCACCCCTCTGTATGCAGGCTGCATACAAGTGATCTCGATGACATCGCCGAGATCACTTGTACAAAACAAGTGGCGGCTTCCCCCGCTGTACATTTAGCCCTGCTTGTCCAAAGCAGGGCTAAATGTAGAAAACAACTACCCGCCCGGCGCCCAGAACTACATGTCTAGGGCGTCGGGAGATAGGAATTCCGCACCCCTGCTGCCCCTCTACACCCTGCTGCCCCGAGGCTGGGCTGAATGGGAATACATGCTAGAGTTGTTTCTGATAATACAATCAAAGCTTGCTTGAAGAAATCCCTTTTATGTAGTGAGTGTTACCTTCCATCTGCCCATCACTTCCAACATCTGGATGCCCAGTGTGCTTTGCGTCTCTTTCCTTGCTGCTTGATGTGACGCAATCTCCATTTCTCAAGACTACTCATCCCATAATGCATTGCTTCCACCAGGTAGTGATAATGTTACATTGTTCAGACATTGTAGTTCAAATCGCAGGCTCTTTCTTTCACAAGAAAGCGCATAGTCATAGGGCTCAGTGGAATGATGTCAGTACTTTGAGGAAGTCCATCCTATGAGCATCTTCAATAAGAACGTTTACAAACTTCTAGATGGGTCTGGTTATTAGGAGTGGGATAGAATGTATGAACATTCAATATAGCAATGCATATATCATAGATACCCTTTAATTAGGGACACAACGGCATGGGGAAGGTGATAGAAGCATGTCAAATGCAACTATCCCAGTCGCAACCACTCGGCTCCATCTGGTGGTTGCCTCTTGTAATTGGTCCAAATAGTCCAGTCAGCTGCAGGCTAATCACGACCCTACACGACCCTTACAGCCTGGCCGTTGGTTAGTTGTGCTCTATTTAAAGGAGAACTATGAGGCGGGTGCTTTTCACTCACCTCATAGTTCTAGCCGACCTCTCACAATGAGACTGTCACAGGTCGCCTCAGTAGATCGGGAGGTGAGCGAACTGATAGTTCCAGTCTTGTCTTGCCTTTCTCTGTCTACAGAATCCCCTGTATCCTGTTCCTGAAAACCAGTCCTGCCTTCATCTTGTAACCTAGTCCTTCCTTGGCTCGTTAATCCTATACCTGTCTTGTTTCCTGTATCATGTATCCATCTTGTATTAGCTCCTGTCCTGTATTTGTTTCCTGTTCCTGTCTTGTGTCTTGCTTGTCTTGTACCTTGACATCAGCCAGTACTCCTCCTTGTTTCGGGGGGCCAGCCTGTGGCATCACCTGATCAGAACAAAAGTCCTGGGGGCATCCACGTACCGTTAGGCCTGCTTGCCTTATGGGAACGGCGGCTGCTGTAGGTGAAACAACTCGTCGCTATTGGCTCTGACAGCGTGCGTCCACAGCTTGTCCTGACAGAAGGGTCCCAACACTTGTTCTCCTCACCAATCTTTGATGATGGGACAGCTGTAGGTCTGACTCACAGGGAGAGGGCTGGTGCTCTCAATTAGTGATGGGCTTGGGCGTGTTGGCAGCTCCACGTGCCGAGCCCGCCAGAAAGCTGACAGCGCGCAGCGCCAATCACAGATACTGAGACCTTTTCTCGGTCCGCAGCTGCAGAGCTCGGGAAATGTCTCAGTACCTGTGATTGGCGCTCTCAGCTTCCTGGCGGCCTCGGCACGTGGAGCTGCGAACACGCCCGAGCCCATCACTACTCTCAATGAGTGCTCTCTGTGACCTACAGCAGGGGGTCAGGGGTGCACTCTAAAAAGAAAGCAACTGGTGGGAATTTACTCTTATACTGGACGCCAACACCATTTCTACTGATTGTGCCGAAGCTTCAACTGGGCTTTCCGGCTGTTCACACTTGTTCGCACGCTTAAGCCTGCCCATTCATGGGCCAAAAACAAATCTGCCTCAATGAAAATGAAAGTCGCTGCACCACAATGTGCATACACTACGAGCTGTCGTCTTAAATATGCGTTAATGTGCGCAACAATACGTGTAGTAATGTGTGAAGGCGACCAGCTCCTGTATGAACCTGAAACCTCGTCATCCATATTTCTTTCTTATAATTATTAAGCTGTGGAATAGTCAGGGAAGAACTTTTGTTCAATTTAAATTATTTCCCAACCCCCCCCCCCGCCATGAAAAGTATTAGAGTATGGCATTTATAAGTAGCAGGCACTAACGGGCATCCTCAAAGAGTCAACTTTCAGGGGTTGGGTACAATGTGCTTAAAATGGAAAACTCCTTTAAAATTTACGAAAGTCAGTTGTTTTTGGCAGCCTGGAGTCCTCCTGCGTCCACCATTCTCAAATAATATTGGCAAGTTTTTTGACAGCAAAACAACGCACCTCGAGAAGAGGTTTGGCTGAACAGTAAGATGAACATCTAGTGCCGGGGATTCAGGTCAACCGTTGAGCTGTGACGTTAAGAGTCACCGTTGATTACTGTCCGTTCTCCGTCCAGGAGGCCTTGTGTCTCCTCGCTCTGCTCCTTGCACCGAGCGCACATGAACCGCCTGTGGAGTCCATTGTAAAGGCAAGTTCCCAACAAGAGGATGACGAAGCCCAGGATCTGCAGCGGGTGGAACTGCTCCCAGCCCACGGCCAAACTGACGACCCAGATGACCACGGTCCTCAGGCTGTCCAGCACCATGCGGGTGGTGGCACTGATCTCCTTGGTCACGCTGATGCCGGCGAAGTTGAAAAAGGCGATGCTGATGATGTTACCCAGCAAGGCCAAGATGATGAGAGGCTGGCGGCCTATCTGGCAGAAAGCATCCAGCGAGTCCTCTAGGACGCCACGTGCGCTGTTACTGAAGCCTTCGGCGGGAATGTAGTAGAAGGGGATCAGCAGGATGGTCAGGATGATAAATCCAAACAGACCTAAAGAGAAAATGTTATTAATATAGGAAGACAGTCATACGTTTAGAAGGGCTCATTTTAAAGCTGAACTGCAGGCAAGGAGCTAGTGACACCACTAGAATACATATGGGAGCGCTTATACCTGCCAAAGGTTTTGTCTATCCAGTCCTGAGATTTCCCAACTTTTTTTGCTACAGGTTTTTAAAGAAGAACTATGGGGTCAGGGCTTTTCCCCATAGTTCTCCTAAGGGTAACGGGAGGACACAAACTAGCGTCCTCCCGTCACCCTAGGCTCAGTATATAGGGAGCTACAGCTCGCGGTATACTGAGACGCCGGAGCGGATCCCGACAACGATGTCGAGATCCGCCCACCTGCGTGAGTGACAGCTGGCTCTGCCTTGCTAGAGGCAGAGCCAGCTGTACCCGCCCCCTCCCCCGTCCGTTCCGCCAGTCAGCGCTGGCGGATCGGAGCTGGGAGGGGAGAATCCAGCCCCTCCCCTGTCACGGCAGAGAGCCGTGACAGGATCGAGAGGTGAGCGAACGCCGGTATGTGTTCGCTCACCTCCTGATCTACTGAGCCGACCTGTGACAGTCTCATTGTCACAGGTCGGCTAGAACTATGAGGTGAGTGGAAAGCACCCCCCTCATAGTTCTCCTTTAATACAGCTAGGTCACCTCCCCGCCTCCAGTCTGTGAGTGGACAATAAAAGAGCAGCAACAGACTGTAGAGATGACCTTTCTGCTCTCTACTCTACTTAGTGTATTCCTTCTCAGTACATTTGCATATGGGACACCTCAATGGCCCCAATGGCTGCCCCTTTCTTCCTCCTAGTCAGAGAATGAAATACATTTTGGGGGTTTATTCACTAAGTTGCCGAATGAATAAACAAGTCAAAGTGAAGTGAGCTGAAGCCTCTTCGGCTATTCACTGCAGCCGTGTACGGTTATTTTGAGTCGTACATCGGCTGCCTTCAGCTCACTTCACCTCCCTTTGGGTCAGCCAAACAGCCTCAGCACGATCGGCTGAACAGAAGGGAAGAACTCATTTGCCTCGGCCCATGCAACATCTGCATCGGTTGAGGCGAACGTTTGGCAGTTCCTTCTCAGCTGTTCAGCTATTCCGTATCCGAATTTCGTATTTCGTATTTAAAAAAAAAATACCATCAACTCCAATATAAATGTACTTTACTTCTTAACTCTAATATAACGAATGTTCGTAACGGAACGAAAATACGTCAACGGAATTTCGTATTTCCTGCCTGTGTGTGTAACTGTGTATTGTAATGCAACTCTCAGCAGCAGCCGATCCGTATCTCGGATTAAAAAAAAATCTTGTCATGTTGTTCAACCTCATTTACAGGGGTAATATTAGTTCCTGTTTCAAAGAAATTCGGATCCGGAATTCGTTAACGGAATTTCGTATTTCGGATATAATTCGGAAACTGCCTTTCGGATTTCGGATGCTCCGAAATTCGGAATTTCAGGAAAATTCGTACGAATTTCGATTTGTAACGAAACGAATCGCACATGTCTATAATAAACTATATTTGATTATTTGTGAGTCAGCAGGTTGCCATCTTGTCTGCACAGACTGGATCTCAGGGAGGTTTGTCTTTTGCATGAAGTGACATTTGGGACAGAACAATATCCAGAACTACCTCGTATAAAGTGAATGGGACAATACAGAACTATGTAGATAAATGACACCAAATTCAAACAGCTAGAGGAGCACTACTTACCCTCCGTTCCCACAGCTCGGAGGGGGTGCACGTTATGTTTGTAGACATACTTCTCCTCCAGCACCATCTGGATAGACGCAACGATCTGAGCCATGATAATGAGCAGATCACCTGGACAGAGAGAACAACAAGTCAATGGAAATGATAATAGTAATTTGAATTATAGTTCCAGAGTAAAGTGAAGTGTCACCTGCATCAGCTGCAGATTAAAAACAAGAATAACACTGGTCAACAACACACTTTTTCTGGCATAAGGTATTCCAACAGTTTTAAGGTAATTTTGGGGTGCTGATTCCAAATCTGGCATCCGTTTGTAGCAGAAGATATCTGGGTCATTACTGCATTTCCTTCTTTCGGATGTTGTAGCCATTGTTAGATCACGTCCCGCAGAAGGAAAATATTAAATAAATGTGGATATCTACATACAATTATATTATAAACACACTATCCTAAAAATACCATATTTTAACACTAAAGCAGTCACTGACTCGCAACAACTTGCAATCATAAGTGACAAAGAGTTAATTTCGGGTAAAATCAATGAAAATGGGGTATGCCGGTAGCATAAAAATGAGATGTGATAGAGCAAATCTGAGGATTTGGAATCAGCACCCTGAAATTAGTCTAAAACAGCTGCAAAAGTCCAGGCCAGAAATTGTCTTTGTTTTTTTGTTGACCAGTGTAATTGCTGAGTAGATTAGTAACCATGTGAAGGAAATGGACTTGTATCATTCATCTGGGAGTCCAATGGCCACCAACACATTAGGCTAGTGGGTGGTTGTTGGTCCCTTTGTGTCTTCTGTCGTTTCTGACTCCTCCCTCCCCTGGAATCCAAACTTCTTTTGGATTCCAGCAGGGACGTAACTAGAAATCACAGGGCCCCGTAGCAAAATTTTATATGGGGCCCTGTGATTTCTACTTACACCCCTTGCAGAGCCCACCTGAGATCCCACACAGCCCACCTGAGAGTGACCCTGCGGAGCCCACCATAGACTCTCTATGGTGGGCTCTGCAGGGTCACTCTCAGGTGGGCTGGCCACACCCCTTATCTGTCAGCCCCGAACCACTGACCGCCTCCTCCACTGGCACTGGTGGGCCCCGTCTCCTCCATCGCCGGGCCCAACCTCCTCCATCACCAGGACCCGCCTCCTCCTCCGCTGCCGACCTCCCGCCTCCTCCACTGCCGGGTCCAGCCTCCTCCTCAGCTGCTGCTGGCTGTCACTGACTCAGCAGTGGATGTG